GTTTGATGCCGGATATGTAGAACACAAGACACTGTACGCCTAAAACATGAAGTGCACCCTATAATTTAAAGACGCTGACGACGATCACTACAGTTGAGAGAAGACGGAACATCTCTAAAGTTTAACACAATTCCTTTTTTCTCTTTTTTGAACAAAAGTGTGGTATTTTGAGGCCTCAGCATGGTCTGCAGAGTAATATTTATGTATTACTGCTTTTCCATAATGCATCGCATAGACAAACTTCTTCTAAGGAACACTTCAATTTTACCTAAACTTGATTGGTATATTTTAATGTATACGCGAGATGGCACGAATTGCTTCAATCAAAATCTGTATTTTAGGTACCAAACTAGGAAATACTTTGTCAAATAGGAATGCACAGCCATCTGGTAGAAAGCAAAAGCAAATGCAAGTGATACACGACCGCACGCCGGTACGATGCTCATTCAGATCGAAACGGGCAGGAGTGGGCATTGAACCCAGGATACCTGGGTTCTGCAGCGCGAGCGTTTGCTCCACGTGCTGCGAGCTGGTGTGCGCTAGCCTACTCGGCCACCAATACCCCCAAGAACGATACCTATTTTTACGCGATTCATAAAACAAATACAGTTGTGCGTGTTTCGTTTTGAGTGGGAACTATTCAAACTACTTTCCGTAAAAATTTCTCGCGAAAAAGCTCGATATATGGTATTACTTTACCAAATAATGATTTCATATGAATGTTTGGCTTAAGTGTACTTTGTCCTGGTAAAAAATATACGTGCTCAGTTAAAATTGCTAAATATGAGCGCACGCTGCACACTGAATAAGAAAACAAACCAGAGTAAAAAGATGTATTTTTTTTTCAAATAGGACCTGACTCTAAACATGAACGTGAAAATATCTCAATTTTTTTGTTTAAACAAAGACAATTCATGCTACATTGTACACGCGATTTCCTTCAACTTTTCAGGGAATATTATTAACCTGAAGCAAAAAATTGCGATAATTTTCAATCTCGTTATCATGCAAGCTGTACATTTAGAAGAGAACATTTATAGAAACGCTGTTAGAATGCACGCGCCCTGCTTCCATGTAGCGGCAAGCGGTCGAATGCCTTTAGTGCAAATTCACCGAGCTACCGGTCTTGGCAAAGGGCATTTAATCGAGTTTCTTAGGCTACAAATAAAATAAAATCATTCGTAGTGTTAATGATAGACGATTGAAGGAGGCGAAGGTGTCCGATTTAAATCTCAACATCAAAGCGACACTGGCAATTTTTGCTGGTTCACATTCCCGGATCCTAACCAGCTAGGCGACGCCAGCAAAGGGAAATTGCTTTGGTGAGCTATCCTGTCGTTTAGTCTTAACTATAGTCACTCACTGGATATATTTCTTATTGGCCTCAAGATCGACCTAGAGGTGGCGCTACTGTCGCGCTATCATCATCATTGAAACGGGGTTAAAAGCACGGCCGCCCCATGGGCTTTCCACGTTCGCGCGCGAGACGGTTTATGTACATGTGTTTATTTTGTAGCACAGTGTCAGTGGGAAGACAATTTTATTGTAAAATGTCGTGGTGCCGTTCGAATCTTTAGTGAAGATCGAATCGAGTTACCAGCGTACGGCTTAAATTTTAATAATCGCTCCTGTGGATACGTCGTCTGCTCTAGGCAGACGTTGGGAAGCATGAATTACCACCACAGATGCTTGTCTTCGGGTGAACTGCACTATTTATGTTAAATATTTGCTTATTTTAAAACAGATGTACCGGTTCTCCCGCGTGGGAATTCAACAAAACAGTGAATTTCAACCCGGATAACATAATACGGTAACTGTGGGCTGTTAAATCGCAGGTTCTACCGATATTTGTTTCTGGAACTTTTAGTTTCTGCAGTAATATAAATATTTAGCATGAACAGACGTTAGTACTGTATCGCCAATTACCGCGATATTACGTTTCGCTGAAGCCAATGTTTCTCTTTACTGTGCCGTGTTGTGAATAAGTTCTTCGGAGTCGGAACAATTCGTTGCTTTGAAGAGAGAGTGCGTCTTCTAGGTTACGATCCAGAAAATGTTCGTTGGCAGGACAACTGAAACAAGTGAGACAAACTATTTTAATATATCGACCGCAAGGGGAGCAAAGAGATGTAACCGAGCAATGCAGTAGCGTGCTTGTGTTCGATGTTTTTCACGGTAATGTGGGTTCACCCGCTTCAATTTACCCGGTGGATTCCAAAAGGCTAATATTATAAATTTCTGGCTAAATAATCTTCTATTGAAAAATACTGGACACTACAACTCGAACGAACGACCCGCACCACCTCACAGACGGCATCGGCCGCAGCGACGCTCTTTTACTTTTAAAGGCTAGCGACTTCCACAAGAATTTCCGATCATCCTCCGCCCTCACCGAACGCATATCGGGACTGGGCAGTTCATTAACCTTCAAATTATTCGAGTGATGCTTCAATTGCGATATTTGTTTTTGCCGTTTAATAGAAATCTTGTGCTGGAAAAAGTCAGAAAAAGGTAAAAAAAAATGCCTGCATTATGTCGAAAAAAAAATGTACAACTTTGGCTCTCGTTTGAAATATATTGCGCCGCAAAGTACAGTACAATACAATACATTTATGACGTCTTTATTTTTTTTTAGAACACAGGCTTGGCAAGGCAACTCACTTCAGCATGCTTGTAATTATCATCAAGGGTGATTATACCGTTTAAATAATAACCTTAAAATTTCTTCACTTGAAAAGGCTTTTCGTGTTCATATTTCTCTAGACGTCATGACGTGAAGTTTGAAGTGGAAAGTCAATAGTCTTTTTATTTTCAAAGTTAATATAGTAACAAAGTGCAGTTTTAACGTTTTTTGTGCAATATGACCGATGAAAAATCATTTAACTTATTTATCAATTGATTAGTGTATTGAAGGGTAACGATCGGTCGGATTGATATTTTTAATCAAACCACGGCTTCGGTTTGTGGTTGCACAAAGCACAGCTTTATAAAAGATGTGGTTTGTGCAAGATAATAAAAAAATGTCAGACCAGCTGCTGCATAGAAACCACAACACGTAAGATTATGGAAGCATCCGACTTAATACTAATCGATTTGCTGAATTTCGACGCATGTGAAATGATGCAATACAACCTTTAGTGACAAGAAACGACAACAAGATTAAAAAAAAGCATTAAATGGGGAGGGCTCGGCTCATCCGGAAACGTGCTTGAGCCGTCGAGATCCATGCTTTTAACTGTGAGCCCCTACCAGACGACGCGCAGCGATATCCCCGCTTTCGCATATTTCCAACTTCGGCAGCACGGTGGCGGCACGGTTCAATCTCGAGGCGAATAGCTTTCGCTCTTGGTGCCCCCTTCCGGCAAACTCCGGCGTTGTTTGAGCACAGACAACCGCGTGATCGCTGGGAGACGGGCAGCGATGCGAAGAAGGCCAGCGATCCGCCGTGCTTTCACTTTCTGCCTCTCATCGTCGCTCCTCTCACAACTACGTAATCTCCGGCTAGACGCTTTTTGCCCCCCCCCCCCTTCCCCACTCCCACCCCCTCTCTCCCGACGCCGCCGCTGCAAGGTTTCTAAATGTTCTCGGCACGTTTAGATACAGGCAAAAAGAATGCCCCAACAACTGTCCGCAGACGACAAGCTGCGGCAGCACGGGCGCGCGGACATATAGTGCGAGACTGATACATACTTAAAGAAATAGTGATTTTCGTAAAAAAAAATTATTTCTTGACTTCGCACTGCTGGATCAACACTCTATTTCAAATCATATACGTCGTCCTGTAAGATAAAGTGCAGCATGCCACAGCGAATCAAGGATTGTAAATGCTTCATTAAATTATAACCCTGCAATAAACAAACTCATTCAAAAGAGTATTTATCTAATATGCATGTCGAATGGCCAAATAACGCACGTGCACATGCCATTAACAATATATTCTAAAACAACCCAAGAGAGTATACACTATTATCGCGAATGTTGGAAGCTTTGCGGATATTATGAATTTTTTGTGATGAATTGGTATTGAGCTCCAGTTTTATGTTCCTGGTTTTGTTTGACTATGATTAATTTAAGAGTTCACAAAACGATATATCTTTATTAGGTGTAGGGACTTCCATAGTCTTCTTCGTGACTATGGAGTTAATAAAATTGATTTGAACTGAAGAGAAATGTAAGGAAAAGCAGAACGCCGTTCCCTTCGCAATGGCGACTGCCGAAATTCAAGGGGCATTCGTTTTGGGTACTCGAGCAACCTATGAGACGGGTTGGGGTTTGTGAGGGACATATCCATCACGCAATGCAAACACGTTGTCATTGTTGTGCAAGAGTTACCCGGCCAATACGTGAGTAGTTCCAAATTCTGCGCGACATTCTGCCTTGCAAAATGGCAAACTGCCCAACCTGTGGACAATAAGCAAGTCCCCTAAAGCATATCTTTCAACAGGGAAACAGCTGCCGCTGTCGATTGCACCACACTTTTTGTTCTGACATTTCAATTTTTCTGTCGGTTTTGTCACCCCTAATTTGGTTTGGCCCATTCAGAATGGAGAGGTCAAAAATGAACTCTTCTGTCAACTGGCCCCCAGATGGCGGTGCGCCGCTCCAAAATGGGAGATCCGGTAGTCTTGAGCAAACCCTAGGCACAACCCGCAGCATGAACAAAAACGTACAACCTCAGCAAAAAAAAGAGGACAGTAAGGGCGCACTTGCGAGCATTGAAAAATAGTGTTGTGAAATTGCAGTGGTGCCAGCTGAAAGGATTTAAGGCACGTTCACACCAGATGGCTGCACGTCATTACATTACTTTATTAGCTTGTCCTAGAATCCCCCCAAAACACAAGGAAGATTATGGGTAAAGCTATGTTCCAGTATGTATATTTCAATTTATTTTACTAAAATAAAACCGCAATGTAAGTATTCAAGACGGCCAACGTAAAACTGTAGCTTTAAAGACAAATCATCGTGCCTACGATGTTCGCTCTTCTGCGAATGACTCGCAGGTCTGCTCCGTGAGGACGTGGAGCCCGGCGTGGAACGCGCTTTCCGCTCCTACCTGGGCATCGTGGGTTCCCCCGCCGTGGGCTACGAGGAGTTCTCGGTCAGCGTGAACGAGTACATGCAGAGGCCGCCCTTCAACATCGTCAACGCAGCGGACGCGTTCGGGGGCATGAAGAAGGTGAAGGAACGAACTCGCCAGACCCCTCACAAAAAAAATTCGTTACCGTCACTACTACGACTACTTCTATGCGTACTGAGCTAGAGATACGCCTTATTAAACAGATAGTTTAATAAGGCGTACTTCTGATTATAGTCAATTTCCGTTCAACTTACGAATAGAGTAAAATAAATTTGTTTAAACTAATTAGGTAAAGTTTGACTCTTTTTTTGCGTGCTTGATCTGATATTGTAGAGGGACCTTCGTGTAAACAGAGTAATATAAGATTGCTCTTTGCGCGAATAAAAACTGAGGGAGATGAGTAAATGGGAGCTCGGCTTGGACGTTAAAGCACTGAGCTCTGATTGGGACGACTGGTTGGTATACACACAGCAAGCTGTCTTTTTCTCTATGGGCTGTTCTGATATAGAGTAGAGACAAAAACATTTCTGTTTTGGACATGAGTGCACCTTGGGTAGCTGCGAGCCAACCAGCTAGCATCTACCCCTAGTCTTTCGAATAAGAGCTCGGCGTTCCGACGTCGCCACGCTTTCTTATTTCCTCCTCTGCCTTATTTTTTATATTAGTCTAGATGATTTTATTATCTGTCTACTATGTGTGCTGTTACCTTTGTGTATGCTGTGGAGCATGTTCTGATCATGCGCACTAGCTCTGGTCTTCAACATATTAAACGTCGCGCTCGCATTTACCACTAAATGGCTACGCTTCGTCATTTTTTTTTTTTTATTGTACGAACTTCAAGCGTTTGAAAGGAGTACCGTTGCTTGGTGAGTGTTATGGAGGAATGTCCTTCATTAAGACATGTTCAAGACAAAGAAAGGCACGAGGAAAACCTGCTTCGACAATGCTTGAGGCGTTTCTGCAGATAATCCTGTCATCAGGTCTGCAGACCGCGTCTTTTTATAATGTATGGGGCATTGTAGCTGTGGCTTTATGGTCAGCCCCAGGGCTTAATGCCCAGGACAACGTCGTAAGATTTCACTCCATTGCGTCGTTGTCGGTCTTGTGTGCAGATTCCATCTGAGGGCGCCTACCTGTACGACGCCGTCATGGTGTACGCACGAGCCCTGAACGAGTGTCTGGCACTGGGGAGAGACTACCGCGATGGACGCCAGATGTTCCAGCTCATGAAAGGCCGAAGTTACAAGAGTGTGTATTCCGAACCGGTCAAGCCTCGGTCGAGATGCCGGCGAACAAGAGAATTGAACTTTTTACAAGGCACTTTGGTAAAGTGAGAAGCTAGAAAGCCGTTTAAAATGAGGAAAATGTGTAAGCATGTGCGTCACTCGTACCGTTTCTCGATGCCGCTCAAAAATCCTTGGAGCACGGGCTGGCAGTATAATTCAGCTCGGTGGTTTAGATATACAAATCACATGAGGCTACAGGCCGGCAGCGGGGCTGAGTGCACTACGTAAGCTCTATTTCCCAGTTTCACCGTTCAACGTCGACAGCTTAGTCTCTAGGCCTGCAATATGGAGTTCTAAAATTGCTACACATCTGTGTTAGTTCGCATTTATTTTCTTATTTTTTTTTTACTTTATAGAGGATTCATGCGTGATTGACGATGTGGCCGCTTATGGAGTAAAAAGGTATCCTCCAAGGAGCTCCCAAAAACCTGACGTAAGAAAAATGGTGACAGGAATGAAGCTTACCTGGAATTTGGTTAAAAAATGTGGCTATTCGCAAAGTATACCTGGTCACTTCAGGCAGCCCGCCCCTAAAACGCCTAATTCGGTCGAAATGGAGCAGTCCCGCCGGCCTAACTTGGGCTTCATAAGTTTTTTCCGCCAGTGTATTAGGTGCAAAGAATCGTTTTCATGTGTGTTTTTTTTTTACGGCTTTTTTTTAGAGCGCAGCTCTTAAGCGCGATCCAAACCAACGCTTCTTTTTGCGCCTGTAGGTCTTGCGGGTGCGGATGTGACGTATTTTCCTGACGTCGCGCCGCTTCTTCGCTCCTTCCGGCCGCGCACGAGAAAGTTGGATAATTTCAACTTCTTCTCAACGCGCACAAAAACGCGCGGTGACGTAGAAGGACGCTCCTGTGTCCCGGCCAATCGGTGCAGGGCAAGCTAGTTCCGGCTCCGCGGTTCTCGCCGTCTGGCTGCCCTCTCCTCCCCCCCTTTTATTCTCTTCCAACATGACAACGCGATCTCTCTCTCTCTCTTTCTCTCGCCGTCTGGCCGGCCAGTCTGTCGCAGTTGCACTTTGCTTGAGCGCTCGTGCCTGCGTGCGCGCGTGCGCGCTCGCCCGAAGTTTCGCCCGTCCAAACCAAAGCGCACGGTTCTGACTCAGAAAGCGCGCCCGGAAACAGCAAAAACGCCACGAAATGCGTCACATCCGCAGCCGCACGACCTACAGGCGCAAAAAGAAGCGTTGGTTTGGATCGCGCTTTAGGCGCCCGTTTCCGGCTTGAGCGCCGTCGCCGTCGGCGTAACCAAGGCCACCTCAAGGCCACGTGACCCCCAAGGTCACGTGACCCCCAGGTCATGTGACCCCCAAGGTCACGTGACCCCAAGGTCACCTCAAGGACACGTGATCCCCAAGGTGACCCCCACGTGACCCCCCAAGATCACGTGACCCCCCTCCCCGAGGTCACGTGACCCCCCTCCCCCCGAAGTCACGCAACGCCCCCTCCCCCCGAGGTCTCGTGACCCCCCCCCCCTTCCGAGGTCAGGTGACCCCCCCCGGAGCATATTGAAGAATGAGGGGAGGAGGAGAAGGAGGAGGGGTCTACCCTCCCCTAAGAACCCTTCCCTCCTCCTCCTCAAGAGCTGCGCTCCAATTCGGCGTGACAGGGAGTTGTAAACGGCTTTCACTTTTTCGTTCGCCACATGATTGCGTATTTGCCAGAAATGAGCCAAAGATGTCACGTCTCGACCAAAAAACCAACGGGAAGCCTAAGACTGCAATCATTTGACAATTCGGTAGAAGTTGTCGGGTGAAAACCCAAAAACAACAGCAAAAGCGAAATTCTCGTATTTTTTTCAGAAACTGATCTACCCAAAGAAGAAAGGTGACAACCAAACCGCCAGGCAGTGAGGCCTAACTGACAATTCTTTGCAAAACTCTGGCAAAATATTATCAAGTTAGATTATAGCTTGACCTTTCTGGGCGTTCAGGACTCTAAATTGCCGGTGAAAAAGCAAAAACTCCATCACCAGTCAAAATAATGGGTAGTCATCTGAGTCTTAGTAGAATAAACACAAAAAAAGAATACAAAAATAAATGAACACCGTTTCTTAAGAGCTGAAAAGTGTTCATGTTAATTTAAGTGGGAGACGAAGGGTACTTTAAATAAATTACGTATCGCCGAACTCTAAGTGTTGCTAGCATTCCGGACCAAATGCCTAGGTTTCAAAACTTACAGTCATCTACAAAAAAGCAGGGTTGGGCAGTATCGCGATACAAATGTATTGCGATAGTATTTTAGAAATACATTTCGTATCTGTATTTCTGTATCGCGATACATTTTTTTTACCAGTATCTGTATTCCTGTACCGAAATGCATTTGGAATATTTTTTTTGTATCGCGATACAATCAGGAAGAAATGTATTTCGTTAGGTTTCTTGAAAAATATCTCCTGTTAAGTTTCTTGAGAAATAACGAAAAAAAAAATCCGGACGCTTTTTTTTTTTCTGGGAGCACTAGGGTCAAGGTGTTACTGGGGCATTGTTAGTATGCTGACTAATGTTTCTTCCGATTCTCCTAACTATTTTCCTATGCGTCCTCTTCTCTCTTCTGAGAAGTGTTCCGCAGTCAGGGACTCGAACCAGGTGGCGTGCCAGGACTGGAGTCAGAGCATCTTCTGCCGCAAATTTTTAGAAAGGGATTTCTTGACTCATTGTTTGCTGGCATCCAATGCCCGCTCCTAACCATCTCTTTTGCCTTACCGTACACAGCTCACCCTGCGGGAAAAGCTGAGTCACAGTACGTTGCAGCACGAGCCGGGCGGTGGTTGGCTTGAAATAGTAGGATGAATCACGTGTTCAACACATATTCGAATGCGTCTGCGGCTCCGCCCGTAATATTGCACGGCCCAAGAGTACGTCGTCAGCCGACGTGAACGTGACCCGCTGCTCCGGCGATCCGAAACCCAGAAAGGAGGCCAGACGTGGCATCGCGGTGCCGACCCAGACTCCTTACATCTGCGACTCGTCTCAAGCGCGCTTTTTCTCGGAGAGCTCGACCTGTGCCGGCAGTATAAGGTCGCAATCCACGAGGTCTCTGTTTAGATGATGCTAGGCGAGACTTGAGGACTGCAATTCATCCGTCGGTGGTGGAGGGTCGGCAGAAAGGGCCATCGCAGCAGGGATGCTACCGTATCGTTTTTTCAGCCGTAGTAGTCGATAAGAGATGTGTTCCAGGATGCTTCAGGTGGTCCACTATTCTCAAAAATTCTAAATGACACTGCCTGCACGATCTTCAACGAGGTAACCTATAACGAAAGTAGGTATTGACCTTTCATACAACAGCGTGTTAAATTTTCATGTTTAAAGCCACACCTACAGATAAAGAATACAAGTTCATTCTACCGTGAAGTCATGTGATCAATGTTGCCAGGGGCAGTCTTATTGAAGAGGGGCGTTGTGACGTTTTATTTATTTATTTATTTTACCCTCAGGGCCAAAGGCGTTACAAAGAGGAGTGGGTTAAAAAAAACAAAAAAAAAAAGCATAGAATCAATACACAACAGCAAAACGGCAGGACTATAGTTATGTGAAGCAATACATGTTAGTTAAGGCATTTCTAAAACTCTTAATGTCGAGGATTTCGGCAACATCCATGGGAAGGTGATTCCAATACAAAGAGGTGCTGGGAATAAAGGAATGATGATATGCGTTAGTCCTGCAGGATGGAATGCCAACCTTGAATCTATGATCGTTCCGTGCTGAAAGATAATGGGGTTGTGTTAGAAGCCTTTGCCTGAGAGATGAATTATGGTGATATATTTTGTGGAATAAACACAAGCGAGACACTTTTCTGCGGATAGAAAGATTAGGCAAGGATAAGCTGGTTTTTATTACGGTTACGCTGGCGGTACGATAGTAATTAGAAAGGATAAAGCGGGACGCACGATTCTGGACGGATTCTAATTCAGAAATGAGCGATTCAAGACCGGGGTCCCAGATAGACGCAGCATATTCTAGCTTACTCTCAACAAGGGTTTTGTAAAGAATGAGTTTCAATGACATAGGCGCGAGAAAAAAGTTTCTTTTAAGGTATCCAAGCATGCGATTAGCATTCTTAGCAATATGTTCAATATGCGTTTTCCAGGATAAATCAGAAGTTATGTGCACTCCCAGATACTTGTAGGATGGCACATACTCAAGAGGAATGTTACCAATGGAGTAAACAGGACGTGTTGAGTTAAAACGAGACACACGCATGTATTTACATTGAGCAGTATTTAATTACATGCACCACAAACTACACCATTCAGAGATAGAGTTAGCATCAGAATGAATGAGCGATATGTCAGAGTCATTAGTAATTTCACGATAAATAACACAATCATCTACGAACACACTGGCAGGGAAACGTACATTGTTAGGTAGGTCGTTAATATAGATAAGAAATAAGAGGGAACAGAGCCCTGGGGAACACCTGAAGTGGCACCATGACAGAACAGCACACGACATAACAGCACGCGACAAAACAGCACGCGTCAAAATAGCACGCGACAAAACAGCACAGCGTTAAAACGGCACAGCGACAGAAGAGCACGTGCCAAAACAGCACGGCGTCAAAACAGCACAGCGTCAGAACAGCCCAGCGAAAATACAGTGCAGCGTCAAAACATGACATTGACAATATAGCTAGGGTTCGGCGTTTTCGGTGTGTATTATTTGAAATTCCGCGCACTTTTTTTTCGGTTTTTATTCCAAATAAAATATTTCGGTTTATTGCGGTGAATATTTGTAGGCTCATAAACTTCTCAGTTATATTAGGCTTATTGACGAAAACCAGTATACTAACGAAAATGCAGTAATTAAAAGCGTTTCTGTAAAATGTATATTGAGTACCAAGTACTGGTCTTCTTATTTGTTGCCGTCTTTGGCAACCGACGCGACTTGTTCTGTAAAATGCACTGGGGCCTTATCGTATCTGACATTACCGTCGTGTGCTCGTATTTGTACACAGGACGAGCATGAGCTTCAGTACCACTTCGGTCGGAGAGGCAAATATCAAAATGGAGAAATTAGCAAGCATCGTACTCGGTGCGTTTTCCCCCATTCGCGCCGACGGCCGAAATGACAATAAAACACTCGTATTTATGCCCTGCTCTAATAGACGGAAGCTAGGGGTGTTAAACAATGCGCGGTATTTACGGATGCTCTTGATTTCCGTTGCTTCATTTCACGATTAAACTCTCTTCTTTTAACAAAGAATTCGGCACAAATCTCTATCAGGTGAAAAACCCAGATTTCGTCCTGTGGACTCCTGCGCCTCCGAAGCTTATGTTGAAAGTTGAACCGATCTCGCAGACAAACTGAAAACTGCGAAAGGAAGTGGTCATATGGTCGGTAATGAGTAGGGTTCCGTGTTTTCGGAGTTTAGTTTTCGTCAAGTTCGGAGGGTGTTTTTCTGAGTTTATTTTTTGCTGAAAATTCGGAGTTTATCGGAGTTTATTTTTTTTTTTATTCCGAATTCTCCGAAATTTGGAGCTCAAATTCGCAGTGTTTCTCAGTAAAAATAAACACATAATATCCAAATGTAAACGTACGCTGGACGAAAAACAAAAACAAAAAAAAAACGCGATTGTATCAAATAATATTTTCTTCAGTTGGATTTGGCGTTGGTGTCATTACTACTGGCAATACTAATTTGTCCTAGAACAAAAGTGGCACACAAGTGTTATTTCGATAAGCGTCAATACCTTAAAATCAATGACCTACTGGAGGTAGTCGCTGGGAAGCCTGTATTTATTCCATGCTATTCCATCAACCTAATGCGCGGCCGCAAGAGATAGAGTGGAAAAGGATGTAATACAGAAGTTTCAACTGGTCCTCTTTTTCACTTTATGTAATTTCGATGGTCCATAGCTTTCGCGGTTACAAAAACACAACCTCTCCTTCTCCTCAGGCACAAATAGTATGACCCAAACCGGAAACATAAACAGTGGCTTTTGTCTTGACCCGATAGTACATGACCTGTTGTCCTGACCGAAATTCGAAAGATATTTGTGGTGGCATTTTCCCAGGACATTTACTCTACGCGCTGATTAAACCATTAATTGTATAATATATATATGTATGTGTGTGTGTGGGCGCGGGGGGGGGGATTGGCACATCGAAATTCAGAGTTTATCAGAGGGGTGGCCAAGCTGCGGCTCCCTAGCCGCATGCGGCTCTTCGTGTGTTAAAGTGCGGCTCGCGGCTCCCTCTCCTAGCAACTTCCCTCCCCCCTCCACACACACACACACGTCTCCCTCCCGGTCACAAGGGCACTTCCCCAAAAAGAGAAATGGAACGCGTTTTAAATTGAGAGAGGTTGCGGTTTGGTAGTCGTATGCTACTGCTACTTTACGTACAGTTGGACTGCTCTTGACTCGGATAGATTGCAAGTAGTTCGAGTTTCGTTTATTTCTCTAGACAAAGGTTTGCCCCCCCCCCCCCCCCCCCCCCTCGCTGCTCTTAGAAGTTTCGGGGGTTTGTTTGCGGCTCTTAGGCCGGGTCAGCTTGACCAGCCCTGGTTTATCAGATAAATCCGAATAGACGAAACTTTTACAGGCGGGAGTTTTTCGAATTTATCCGAAAACTCGAAAACGTAGTTATTAGTCACATCCCCCTCCCCCCCCCCCCCCCCCCCACACACACACACACACCACTCCAAACGCCCTGGAAAATTCTGAACTTTTCAGTTAAGACCGAATGTAAAATAATGAATTCGGCGTACTTTTATTCAGTTATATTCGGTTTAACCCGAAAACGCTGAACCCTAAATATAGCGTTTGAAGTTTCAAAAAAAAAATGCACGTGGCGATCCCGTCGCCGCCAGCGTACGTTTTTGTTTTTTTTATTGTTTCTCCACTAGCTGTTAAATAATGGCATGCAATGTCCAACCCTTTTTCTTTACGTTCTGTTTTGTTTTCATAAAACGCTGCCTATCACACCCTTTTTACATGCGTGGTGTTTTGTCGTTGTGCGGTTTTGACGCCGTGCTGTTTTGGCACGTGCTCTTCTGTCGCTGTGCCGTTTTGACGCCGCGCTGTTTTGTCGCGTGCTATTTTGACGCGTGCTGTTTTGTCGCCGTGCTGTTTTGACGCTGTGCTGTTCTGACGCGTGCTGTTTTGACCATGCTCTTTTGTCGCGTGCTGTTTTGTCGTGTGCTGCTCTGTCGCGCTCCCACCTGAAGTGACTGGTGAAGGCTGGGAAGCCACATCATTGACAGTGACAAACTGCGATCGATTAGTAAGAAACGAGCTTAGCCATGCAACGACGTTAGGGTCTAAATTAAGTATGATAAGCTTTTGAATAACGAGGGTGTGAGGGACCTTGTCGAAGGCTTTAGAAAAATCTTGGAAAATACAGTGTACCTGAGAGCCCCGGTCAAGAATGGAATGAAGGTCATGGGTGGAACACAAGAGCTGAGTCTCACAAGAAAATGATTTCCGGAAGCCATGTTGAGCATTACAGTAGTAAAAGTTAGACTCTAAAAAATTAGCAAGGTGAGAGTTTATGATATGTCCAAGAATTTTACAGGGTATGCTAGTAATTGAGATGGGACGATAGTTTGTTGGAGAATGTTTGTCACCTGATTTATGCAAAGGAATCACTTTCCCAATCTTCCAATCGTCGGGGATAAAACCAAGCTCCAAAGACTGCTCAAAAAGTCTGGATAAAATAATTGCACTGTACATTTTCGTATTTTTAAGAATTTAGAATTGATGTTGTCAATACCAGCAGACGACGACATTTTGAAAGTATCTATCACATTGGTTATGCCTATAGTGTCAATGCAGATTGGATCCATTGGAAAATAGACATTGGTAGAAAATTCAGGAATACAAGAAATCTGAGAGGAAGAAAATTGATGAGATTTACGGTGACCTCGAATTTATTTAGAGGTCGAAGTCTTTTCGCTTCCCTCGTCAGACAGAGAGGATGTCACAGATGGGATTGCGGTCAACCCCAGATGGAACCTTTTTTTTTTCGAGCCCATTGAAGACTCTTTGCCGTCCAAAACCACTACCTTCAAGACATAGTGCCAAGCCTACGGGAAAGTAATCTCGGGATCAAAAACTTCCATTTCAAACTTCAAGCTTCATCTGATTTGGCTTCTCAAACAAATTCGAAAAATGTATTGCAGTATCAGTATTTCTGTATTTGTATTTCTGCCCTTCGGTAAAATGTATTCTTGTATTTGTATTTCCAAATACCTTTTGCCTCCCTTCGAAATGTGTTTCCGACACGTATCACGATACACGTTTACGGATATATTTTAGTATCAGGAATTTAGGTACAATTTTAATGTACCCCAGTATTTGTATTTCCAAATACATTTTTGAGTATTTCTGCCCTACCCTGCTAAAAAGTCACACGTGATTTTATCAAACTTTCAATTGGAAACCGGGGCCCGTTCTGCATGATTGTTTCTCTTCAGTCCAATGTATTCATGGGCTTTGTCGTGCACCATTTTTCTTTAACAAAATATCTGAAAATCGTAACTTTTGAATAAGACAAAAGTTCGTTCTGAAACTTTGGCGGTCCTTTCGGACTGCTACCGTTATATTTGGGCGTAAACTGAGCGTTCGACGATGCGTAGTTAATTTTTTCGACAAAGAAAACGCCATATTTTGTTTACCCCGAGGACACATTGTAAACCTTGAGTGCCGCTAAAACAGTTTGTTTTACTTTACCTTGGAGCCGCAGGTGCCATGGGCTACATGGTGCAGATGGACGACAAGGGCGACGCGGAAGGAAACTACACCCTAATCGCTCGCCGGGAGCTGGACGCCGTGCCCGGAGAGTACGGGCTCTTCCCCATCGGCATGTTTCAGCTCCCGCTCAACGGATCCCAACTGCCGGTAAACGCCTCCCCCCTCCTTCCCAAGCCATCTCCAATACCTTGTTAAACCGCCGAGGTAGTCACAACCCAGCGGGTTAAGCCAATAGCAACAGGGGTCTCAAGTAATTCGTGCTTGGTGGGCAGACAGCCCAATCCAGAAAGGTCGAGGGCAAACGTAAGGACCTCGAACTTTCGGGGGTGAAGGGGGGTAGGGGGGGCGGGTGTATGAGCTCGTGCTCTCTGATTTGTGTAAACTCGGAGTTTGGCAGTGACATCTTCAGCTTTCATTTGTTTATTGAACTAATTTGGGTCCTTACCTGACAAAATACCACGAATTAAAATGACACCACCCTGCCAACGTGCTGCAATGTTTAACAAAACAAGAGAGCAAGCACGCTATCGGCCCCATTGCTGAGTTCACTCGGTAATTATTCCAGCTCAGCATGCTCTGAAAAAAAAATATATTCATAAGACACTTTTTGGTTTTCTAGGGGTTTCTATACATCTTTCCAAAAAACACTCAACCCCAGGGGCAAAAAACCGTTTTCGAGCCCAGTCACTGAGTTTGAGGCTAGACTCTCACCGGCGTCCCTCCTAACCCTAGCCGAGTGGACTGTGATTTCAACAAGCGCAGCCTGCGTAGGCGCAGTTTCAAACGCTGCTGGCAGCTAAATTCTCGTCTTTTTCGGCTATATTTTTTGTTTAATGATACATGTATTTTCCCGAGGACATTCAGAAAGCATTGTGCCGCATTTGAAAAAAAAAAAGCAACAAAAAAATCTGTAAACAATTTTTTTGGGTACGCGCGCGACAGAACGAATGCGACTGGAACGAATAGTTCTAGTTATTTGTTTTTTTCTTACGATACGTTTTGACGGCGCCGTGGGATTCGCCGCATGTGAAACGACGAAGCACTTTGCTGTCAAAAATAGATTGCGACAGAAGAGGGCCAAAAGGCATGCATTTCTTACGCTCACAAATAACGTGTTTAACGATGGACAGGACACGAACATACAATTGAGGAAGTGTTAACATTCGAACTATATATCGTACGTACCACACGATGCAGCGTTATCCAACAAGAATTTATTTGAGACAGATCTCAAATAACAGAGTCACAGTCGACGACAGTCACATCTTGACAATCGGGCGGAATCCGAGATGACTTCGTTTTGGGACACGTTTTGGGGAGAGCTTCCTTTTTTTCACAATCGCACCAAGGCAAAGAAAGAAACGCGACTGACCCATTTCTCACCCCAACCCGGACAACTATTTTTGGAGATGACTGAGGATTCTACGCGGATTATCTCTGGGAGGGGGGAGAACAATGTTCGCAAAATCACGTAGAGGGTCGCTCGACGTCCTTCACCTTCTTCGTTTCCTGTGAATGTCGAGCAGAAAAGCTTGAATGGCAGGCACCTACCTGCCTTATTTCTCACAATGGAAGATAACACAAAAAGGGTACGCAGCACGCATAAAAAAATTAGGTGGAAACTTTCAAGAGGGGCGAAAAAACGTCTTATCCGAAACCGCAAAAACGTAGGTAGAGAACCGCTCTGAGCGGGTCTTCACAGTCCCAGAGAGTGGCAGAAAATGTCTAGCTCATAGAGGGCGCGAGAGTCTCACCAGCCGCATCAGCATCAGCAACATGGCGGCGGCCTAGGGGCGTTTTTTGGAAAGGTGTATAGCCGCAGTATGAAGGCAGAAAAGCTCGTATTTGAATGGTAAAACTATTTGAAGCCGAGAACCTCGAACTCGAAAATTTATCTATTATTCTTCCGCTGGGCGAGAGTTCCTGCAGCTTAGGTCTGTTCTTCAACGAAGAAAGCTCGGAAGCAAAATTAAAACGAAACACGGGACAAATGAAGATAAAGTTGTATGAACTATGTAACATGTTTTAAAACCAAAGCTACACGCCCAACGTAAATGATTCGGGGAACATGATACAAAGAAAACTGTTTTGTGAACCAAGTATATGGCCCCTAATTTTCTGAGGTCCGATGCATGATGCTGAAAGTTTAACGGCGTATCAACATGAACTCCGAGATCATGCATAACACTAGCGCGTTTGATGACAGTGTTATCTAAAACCTAGTTAAACGCAAATCGCATTCCCTTTCTTTTACAGATGTATACGACGCGCAGTTTGGTCTGCCCTTCGTGTACCTCGTGCGTTTGTTTGCCCCCCAAATACGTCCACGTGCGTTTGTTTCCTCCCACCTCAATCAACGACGACGCGCTCTCGGCTCCTTTGTCATCACGCATTCCCTGCGCGCTCTCTGCGTTACCCTCCCCCCCCCTTTTTTTTTTGGCGTGGCCCTCCTTGTGTTTTAATGCGCCCAACGCAAATTTCGGAGCACATGCTCCCGTATTGTTTTTGTCTTGTGTTTTTTAAACACATTATCATTACCGGAAACATCACGTGCACAATTTGAACACATAATACTAAATAAGTGCGCATTCAGAGTCAGAACGAGCCCAGCAAAACAGATCTAGGTCATCAGCAAGTAAAAGCGCCGATGACCTAGATGATCCAGAACTACAAAAAGAGTTTTTACGACGTGTGAGATATCTTCTGAACCATCGGCAGTACATGGGACACAGCCCGTAGCTGTATTGTTTTTGTCTTGTGTTTATTAAACACATTATTATCAGAAACATCACGTGCTCAATTTCAACACATAATACTAAATAAGTACGCATTCAGGGTCAGAACGAGCCCAACAAAGCCGATCTAGGTCATCAGCAAGTAAAAGCGCTGATGACTTAGGTAATCCAGAACTACTAAAAGAGTTTTTACGACGTGTGAGATATCTTCTGAACCATCGGCAGTACATGGAACACAGCCCGTTACTGTATTGTTTTTGTCTTGTGTTTATTAAACACATTATCATTATCGGAAACATCACGTGCTCAATTTAAACACATAGTACTAAATAAGTGCGCATTTATTGTGGGAACGAACCCAACAGAACCGCTCTAGGTCATCAGCAAGCAAAAGCGCTGATCACCTAGGTGATCCGGAGCTACTGAAAAAGTTTTTATGACGTGTGAAATATCTTCTGAACCATCGGCAGTACATTGAACACAGCCCGTAACTGTATTGTTGTTGTCTTCTGTTTATTAAACACATTATCATTATCGGAAACATTACGTGCTCAATTTAAACACATAATACTAAATAAGTGCGCATTCATTGTGGGAACGAACCCAACAGAACAGCTCTAGGTCATCAGCAAGTAAAAGCGCTGATGACCTGGATGATCCGGAACTACTAAAAGAGTTTTTACGACGTGTAAGATATCTTCTGAACCATCGGCAGTACATGGGACAGAGCCCATAACTGTATTGTTTTTGTCTTGTGTTTATTAAACACATTATCATTTCGGAAATATCACGCGCTTAGTTTAAACACATAATACTAAATAAGTGCGCATTCAGACTGAGAACGAACCCAATAAAACAGCTCTAGGTCATCAGCAAGTAAAAACGCTGATCACCTAGATCAGGGGTCTCAAACACGCGGCCCGCGACTCCCTAGGACGAGGCCCGCAGATAAACGGCTACGCGTCCCAGTTCCTATGTATCGAGCGCTAGAAATCGCATGCGCCATAGTGATCTCATCTCGCCAATTCATTTTCGCTTGAAAAGGCGCTCCGCTCTTTCAACGTATTTACAGAGTTTTTACTTATCTGTGTTAATGTCTTCCTTATTTCACTCATGGAGGTGCAAAATACATGCAAATATGTATCGAAATACATATACAAAATACTTCGTCAAAAATATATTTAATTACGAATCTAATTACATTTCCAGAAAAGCATTTAACTACAAGATACAAATACAGCCAAAAGTATTTGGCAGGGATGGGCAAAATACATGTAAATATGTATCGAATTACAAATACACACTACTTCGTCAAAAATGTATTTAATTACAAATATAACTACATTTCTAAAAAAGCATTTAAGTAGAAGATACAAATACAACCAAATGTATTTGGGCTCCCTCCAAATACCTTTCCAAATACATTCCCCAAAATTTGCGTTAGCGACTTCAGGGCACCTAAAACGGGTTTCCGGGTATCTCATTTTAATTTTGCATCGCACACTGAGCAGTTAGTGTGCGAGGCTCTAGTAACGTAATGGAAATGTTGTCACAAAAAAAAATGTAATCAGCTTGGACGTAATAGGTGAAAAGAGTACAGAGCTTCAGGCAGATTTTTTGTCGATTACATTTTGGTATAGACCAACAAAGAACCGAGACGACCAAGACGTGCAGCACTAGCTAGAGAAATTTTACTCGCACCAGTTACGAAAATCTGGACGACCCGCGCATTTAGAATGTTCCAGGCAAAAATATGGATGGAAATCAGGCTCGAAAGCATCCCAAGTTGTCACAGGCCCTTACTTAGCCAGTCTCCCTGTGAACGTCTATTTCGTCACTATTCTTGCCCTGGACTAGCACCGTAATCACAAAGTCACTAAACTCTAGCGCTTGATTGAGAGACACTGCATTCGATGCAGAACGTAGTTTTCTTCCAGCTCTGGACAGTGACAATACATTTGAGGGATGCATTTTCGCCTACAAAATTCTATTTAATTACAATTGTATTTGAAATACTCACGTTTTAGTATTTAAATACACACGTCAAATAAATTACCCAATTTGTAATTAAATACAAAGGCAAAATACACAAATCATTTGAAATACGTATTTCAAATACTTGTATTTCAAATACTGCCCATCCCTGGTATTTGGTCTCCTGCAAATACTTTTCCACATACATTCCTCAAAATTTGCGTCAGCGACTTCAGGGTACCTACAGCGGGTTTCTGAGTATCTCATTTTAATTTTGCATCGCACACTCTTGAGTTAGTGTGCGAGGCTCTAGTAACGTAATATAAATATAATTACAAAAAAGTGTAATCAGCTTGGATGTATTAGGTTCAAATGGTACAGGGCTTTAAGTAGCTTTTTTGTCGATTACATTTTGGTATAGACCAACAAAGAACCGAG